CGGAGAAATTATGTTATAATATTTTTGATTCATCAGTTTATACATTATTGTACCTACTCAAATATTTCATTGAAATTCATTTCCACGTGTCTGTGTTCAATATGTTATTATTTCCACGTTAATACTGCAATACAAAGCCTCTATAATGTTTAGTGATTATAATATTATATACAATAATCCTCCATTAATCTATGCGTGTCCTATATAAATTATTATAAGATTAAATATTATTTTGGGTAGATTATAATATGTATTTCAGTATTTTACCTAATAGAATATACATTTTGAGATAGATATTGATTATGTGTAGTTAGTAAAGTGTATCCTGTAGGTATATCATGTGGTCTTAGGTACAATTGTGGTTTGACATACATTTTTTCATCTCCCCCAAATTGGTTTTTTTTTTTAAATTTTACTGTTTACGGTTATTGCCTGTATTAGACACACGGACAATTTGTAAAATATTTTTATTCAAATATTAATTTTTATTTTCAATATTGATGTATAAATAAAGATTATAAAATATACACGTTAGGTACGTATAGCAGTTCATATCACTTAGTAAACGGTCATGAATACTATCGTGCATACTAATAAGGTAACTTTTACGATTGAAACGTATTGGTTCAAACTAACGATTTTCTTTTTTATCCTTTGCAATAAACCTTGTTTATTTTGTAAGACCCTTTCCGTACATACAAAAAAGAGCATAGGATATATAATGATATAATATATACTGGTTTATTTAATGCATGCATAGGCTAACCGGACCTTTGTTCGATTTTCAAAAAAATATTGACAACCTCTCCGTTAAGCGCTAATACTATTTTTGGACATTTCACCCTCCAACAACAACAAAATAATAATAAAAACGTATATTTTGGGCGGTTTTTGGAAATTTGACACAAATCCGCCATTTAGCACAAAAGCCGGGCACACTGTTAATCGGATATAGGCCTATTATACTCCCCCGGGTGCTATTATAATGGCATTATATACGTTATTGTTAATACGATATCAGCGCTTTTGTTTGTCACACACTAGTAAGATATCAAAGGCAAACTGCGATAGTTATAATAGCCTTATAATATTAATACTGTGTGAATACTGAGTAATTCATAAATATTCTACATTTTTATTACATAATATATTATAACATATATGTTATTTTACAAATATTATTTGAATTGATATGTTTTCGTGTTAATAAATACATTATAGGATTTACTGTTTATTATTGCAACTGACGATTCAATTAATATTTGCATTTCAATTAATAGTTATAATAAAAATAAAAATACGTTGATTTTCTTTAGATAATATGATATTTTATTATGAACAATTGATCAATACCTAAAATAAAACATTATGTGAAATATTTAAATATGTCAATATCTATTTTATACATTTCACCTAAGTTCGTCATTATAAATAGGTATATGGAAGTGTTAAAGTAATTTCTACATTTTCTTATTTATTGTTTATTTTACATAATATATTATTTGAATCAAAAATATGTAAGCATTAATTTATATCACTGGCGATTGGCATATTTACAGTGGTAGGGGGATTTATGAGGTCAGGTCATCATTCACGATTCACCCCAACGGCCCCACTATTGGAATTTGAAAGATATTATCATGTCACATTTCGTAATTTTACATGATTAAAAATACGTGTATACATGGTAGCCAGTTGCTACCATTAATATTATAGGGACACACATTTAAAAAAAAAACTGGGATAACCAGGGTTTTTCTTAAATAATTATGAACATTTTCTAAAAAAGGGTTTTAAAATATTACCTTAATTTGTCTACAATAGTTTAAAAATAAACACAAATACATAGTTATGATATTTTTGGTCTAATGTCTACATTGATAAGACATTTGACTAGGAATAACTACAGTACATATACTGGTATAATACTAAATTTATATTTTCTAACTAAATGGGTATACTTATATTGGATATATTTTTTTTAACTAGTGTAATTTTTATATTGAAAACGATGCAATGTTGTAATCAGAATTTAACGTTTGGCTTTAGTTTTTAACCTCGACCTATGTTAAGTCAGTGCTCGAACATTATTGCCTTGCTCAATATACTATGTATACAACAAATTTTATTGATTCAAAATAATATTTTGTTCCTTCATCTATTTTTTAAATTATCTATATTTTTCTACTTTTAAATTATTTAAAGCATAAATAACATTTTTGTAATTTTTAGAAATGTATTCATTTAAAATTCTCTAATTTTTCCACAATTTTCTATTTTTTTTTTCCAAAATTTACCAGATTTTCTCTAGCATTTCACCCTTGTTAACAATATCTATGAACATTATAATCACTTGCATAGTTGTATTATAGATTCACTAAGTAAATAAAAAATGTTCAGTGCGCGGGCTGCTGGTCTCAATATGACTAGACAATTATTATCTTTATTCATCATACACGATAAATGTTATATGTTTTTATAATTTTCGTTTATCAGGTTACTTTATCAGTATTCAAATTTCAATATCATGATTTATCATAACAAAATATTTTAACATACTGTTATTACGAATAAATTATTTTTAACCACTACCTCTTGCTTTTTTTTCATTGTTATAATTTGAACTTCTATAATAATTTGTGGTTTGTTGAGAAGAGTGAATCTCATCACGGTAATACGGAAGGAAAATTATCTAGACCTTCGCATAAAAAAAATCCTAAGTACGCCATTGACCCTTAATGCCTTTACGTTTAATACAAACTAAATGTGTGATGAATCTAGGATACTGTCGTCTGTCATTGATACAAAGAAAATTTGTTGATGAGTGCGAAATATTTAATTTTTAAATAGTGATAATGTAGAAGTTGTTTATTTTATTACAATACACAAAAATATAAGCGACTGCTTGGAATCATTTAAATTTTTTCGGTTTTGCTTCTAATTCAGTTAAAAATATGTCTGTATTGGTTTAGGATATGGTTCTTAAAATCACAGATAGAGGTTCCAGTTAATACTGAAATTTAAAAGTATTCATTTTATTCTAAAGGTAAAAAGTTTGAGGAAGTACAAACTTTATGTAACATAAAATAATAAGATTAAATAATAGTGGTCTTAATGAGTTAAATAAACTTTAGTTTACTATTTCTTTAAAGACATCCAAAACAAATTTTAAAAACTTGGTATGACACGCGTTGTAACTTGTAAGAAGTTACAGTAGGTACCAGTACATCATAGTTTGATACAATCAAATACTTAATTGTCAGTATCAAAAGTGATTTAACTTAAACAGTAACCTAGATTTTTACAAGGTATGTATATTGTGAAGTGATCAAATGTGTAGATTTTAATGACACATATTTGCTTACTGATCAGTGAACATCCGAGCGATAGATTCATAATTTTCTATGATCTAAAACGATATTGATGTGAATGGTCATTATTCATTACAGTCTATCAGTTCATTGTTAAGCTAACATAATAACTATAGTGACAGGTCTGTAATCTTCTTTTGTAAGTTGTTAGCTTCAATTGAAAAAGTTTAAACTTAAATTACTGAAATTTATGCATATATTGAAATTGTTTCTATAAAAATCATGTTACATTTAGCACTTCTTTAAGTATGTATCAATAAATTATTAATAATTATCCGATTTTTTTCAGTATAATTAAGATGACAAAATAATACCAAATATTTTTATTTTTATAAGATACTATTAATAAATTATAAATAATATATTACCTATTTTTATAATATTATTTTCGTCCAAAATTTTAGTCTACCCATATAGTCTTACACCTATTAAAATGTTTTTTGTCATATTTTCTGGAATTTTTATAGATTATAGATAAAAAAAATTATAAATCCATGTTTATATTTACAATCAAATTCAATTAACCATTATTACTATAGAAATAAATTATATAACTTGCAGTTCTTAACTAATTAACTTGAATTTTTTTTTTTTTTTTTAAGATTATATTTGTCAGTATTTACTATTAATGTATTAATGCAACAAGTTTGGGAGGCTTATAATAGGTATTTGGTAATGTATTTGATACTTATATTATAACTTTGGGCTTTGGATATTAGTCAAAGCTCTGATATCACTCAACAAAACCGCATAAATATTTTATAGTATATATTAATTAACTCCCCGACCCCATACAAATTAATTTATCACCTACCTAAGTGGTTTCAATGTAACTATACTGGAAAATCCTATCAGTTATATTTGAAGTGGAATTGGAACAGGGGTCTACTACAATTCAAATTTATGTAACTATATAATATAAATATTTATGTATATTTTATTATTTTTTAAATTGTATCTTCTTTTTTTTATAGTTACTATACTAATCGTAAATAATTTCAACAACAAGAATGTTTAGATATCACCAAGGTAATTGCGTATATGATGTTGGATTAATAATTATTATTTAATATACATAAATTCATAATCAATTTTGCGGCAACCACTCCCCCAAAACTGATATTGATGTTTTCTCTAAGTTTTTAGATGAACTAAAATCTGTTATCAATTCTCTAATTACTCTCCTCACTTCTGTCATCTCCAAACTCCTTGATACTAAACAAAATGCCTAACTCTCTGAACTAGCCAAAACTCATTATATACGTTTCAATAGCCGCCTAGCTCACCATAAGAATCCGTTAATCTCCGACCTATCATCTGCTCCAATCCCAGGTAACTCAGTCAAAAGACTTAAAAGACAGTGGTGTCGCAACCTGCTAGCCTAATTTAGTCCTATACTCATGTCGTAGTACCTCCGCTGGGAGGCCTCTACATTCGGGATAATCTGTCATTTATTTATTTTTATTTATTTTTATTTTATTTACTGTATCTCTTATTCTTATTGTTCATGTATTGAAACAGATTGAATAAAAATACTTTAATAATGAAAAAAAAAATATATATACATAAATGATAAATCGTTTAATATTATTCAGACATTCATGTATAAGACATTTTAAAATATTTTACCTAGTCAGATAAATCCATTTGGCAGTGTATCTTGTATTTTAGAACAGTCGTTGTATGATACCGCCTCACTGTATTTTTCGTATAAAGGTTGATGATAACAACTGACAAGTGATCAACATAATATTATCTTATGCTCATAATGTACATGTAATGTATCTGGAAATTCAATAATATGCTTATTGTAGTTAAAATAAATTTTATATCCACAAGTTAAAATTGTATTGAAAATAGTGGAAAACCAAGTTTACTTGAATGATATAGAATGTCGAGTAGATGAATAACTGTGCATCACTCATATTCATGTTAAGAAAGTGTTAAATGAATGATTCATAACAAATGGTTTGAACGTGTGGTGTGCATGTTTTGAACACTTGTAAGTTCTTGCACAATGATATTAAAAAAGTGAGCAATCCATTATTTTTTTTCTATCATTTTTTTTCATAGTATTATTGCTGTGAGTTTCATTATTATTTACTCTACAGCTCAAAGTGATTTAGAGTTTTTTAAATGAATCAACAATTAATATTGCATCTGTATTATTATTATTAATAGTGTCATAAGCAGTAATAGCTGTTTGTATATTATTGTTTTGTAGTGAAATACTAAATAAATGTTTGATATGATTCATTATACATTACCCTAGTACTTGATTGCTGGATACTATATTGAATATTACTATTTTAAAGAGATGACATAAGTACCTACTATCTATGTTGCTACTATGCTATATGAATATAATGTAAATTATAATACTATACGCTTTTAATACATTTATACATCGGATAATTGTTCTATGTAGTCGATTCCGGGTAAATAATAAGCTTATATTATAAATATTTTGATTGATGAACAACTTCCAAGATTAGCTAGACAAATATTATGTTAAATAATTTTAAATATTAAGTTATTGAATTTTCACTAAATTAAAGTTAAATTACGGTAATTTTAACTAATTTATATTTAAAGATTACATACAAATGTAATGTTTTACCTCTCAAAGTAGGTACATTATAAACCACATTAGTATATCACCAAATTGCTTGGAACTTAATTATTTATTTTTTTTAAAACATAGGTATAGTAAAGAAACAAAGTACAAACATAATTATTTTGATAATTCTACATATAATATACATGAATCATAATATTCTTTATGAAATTTGATATTGGTAGATCATTATGAATTAGAAAAACAAAATACCTATTATTGTAATTCATAGTGTTTTGATGAGTTATAAATTAATAACATAATCCTATACAGAAAATCGTCTTCTTGCTAATGAATGAATGATTATTTATTTTTGAGCACATTCAAAAACATATTTTGAGTAATGATCAGTTTTTTTTTTTTTTATTAAATAAATACTTACATAAATTATTATACTTGATTTTTGTTTATTATATAGAAAAATATAGATTAAATGTAAAACTTATAATTTTAAAGTTTTAATTTTAAAACCTACATGTAAAATATGGAAGTCTTAGAATCGCTTTAATTATGGTGGCACTGTTTGAAGACAAATTTAAATTTTCTTCTATAGAATATCGACTGTTTCAACGAAAAAGACATTATCTCAATTTTACGAATTTTTTTTTTCAATTTGGAGTGATTGTGTGTCTGAATTTCCTGTTTTCTAGCATAAATCAGCCAGAGGCGTTATATACAATAAGATAAAGTTACTACTGTCTTGAAAACTACAGAATTACCAATTTGAAAATAATAAGAATTTATATAAAAGAATTTGGAACCCAGAGAGGAAAGCAGGTTTTTTTAAATTGGGCTTAGTGGAGGAAAAAACAGGCAACACCACAATTGGAGCATAATATACAGGAAGGAGGGGGGATGGCAATTTTCCCCAATTTGAAATGTTTAGTATTAAGTTTTGCATTATGTTCTAAAATGGTAAATTACGTATAAAAATCACCAACATTATTATCAGAATCAAAAATTTAAATACGTATAAAGTTATAAACTATAACTTTGAGTGATGATTTTTAATCTAAATTCAGTATTACATATTACTATGGTTTGAATGAGCTTTATTTTAAGTTTATACAATTATATGATAAAAAAGGGAAAACTACAAGTTTTAAATGAAATTAGCCAAAGTTTTATCAAAATATTATTAAATCTTATAATATAGTGCATTAAAAACAATTGGCAAAAGTATAATAATTTCCTTAGAAATATTATTATTTTTAGTTATACATATACATTATACATAACTAGTAAAATACTATCTTAGCCAATAACGAGTGCCTACTAACAACTTAGCGTCACAGTGCTGAGATCGCTTCCTCGATTAAAAATTCGACACGATGATGTTAGAACTGAATTTACGCGTGTTTTGCAGTCTTTTATAAGTTTGTATATAGTGTAAGACACGGGTCCCATCTCGTATCGTCCCGATCGAGTGGGTATTGTGCACGTTTCGAGAGCTACCATTTGCGTACATTATGCCGAAATGAATTATTATTATTATTATTATTATTATTATTATCATCATCATCAACATCGTCGTCGTCGCTTTCATTCATCGCGAGTGCAGGACGGCCGGCAGGTAGATATTATTATAGGTAGAGTCGGTATAATAATATAATACGGATGGGTAGAAGAAAGCATATAATATATACGAGAAATTTTCCACGCAATAAGTCACGCGGGGGACGGGCCGAAAGAAGTAGCCGCCGCCGACCTTTATTTATTTCTTTTATTACCCACATTCGCGATTCGCTGCTACCTACCTACGGACGGTAAATCGCAGTGTTTGACTTCACCCGGACAATCACGCCGCCGCCGTCGACTTCAAGATGCCTTAAATATCGCACACACAAACACACACACACACACACACACACACACACACACACGCGCAAACAAACACACGTGTCTTGGCTCGATCATTAGCCACACTTAACACGTATACGTAACGCGTCTGTCTGTGTGTGGATGCTCGCGCGAGCTGGCGCATCTGTCGAAAATTTCCGAACGTATTCGTTTATCGTGTGTATTACAATAATAAGTCGGTGTATATGCTGCGAATGTGTGTAGGCACCTATTGTGTGTGCCATTGTGTTATTTATAATCTATACTGTTGTGTATAGCTACGCCGGTATTTGTCGCACTCGAGTGCACCCCCCGACCGGGGCGGGACATCGCGGCTTCGCGCGGAGAGACGAACCGGTGTGGCGGCGGCGGCGGCGGCGGCGGCGGTGGTGGTGGAGGATAATGCATCTACCGGGAACGCGTCATTTCACGGCTATTTAACCCCAAACGGCATACCAAACGACTACACCGGACAATATGACTAGAGGTAGGTACCGTGCCACCACGGCCAGTAGCCGTTCATCGTTTTTTGTCCTCGACAATATATTATTATTTTATTATTATCGAAGAACGAGCGGAAAAATACGCTACAGTCTACCTCATTGTATACAATAGAATACAATGTATTATGTAATCGCTCTTTTTTTTCTTCTTTATTATTGGAAAAAAAACATATATTATATACCCTATTGGGTTTGCACGTGCTGGGTGTTAAAACGAAAAAAAAAATTACTATAAAAAATACAAATAATAATAACGCAATTTTTTCACTCTGCGTACCACCCCTTTGGTCCGTAGTTTTTACTTATTTTGGTACATTACTCGCCTGGGGTATACACGAGGAGCTGTCACCTAATGTTGACAGTTTGTGGATTTTTTTTTCCGAAAAAATTTAAAAATACGCGTTAAAATCTCCTCAACGTTATCGTTTTGTGGTTAAACGAATTAAGTCCCTGAAACGTTATACTTTTTAAACATAAATCACATTAGAACCCTAGTACCTATTATATTTTTCAACTAATTAAATATTGAAAAAATTGTTGAAAATTGATAAAATCAACTAATAACCTATATCCTTGTAGTCTAACGTCAGTTACCCACTTTACCAAGTCAAACATTCAGATGCCTAACTTACGTTGGTTCATTGGTTGTTAGGCCTCAAATTTATTACCGATGAATCCAATTTTATCACATACATGTTTAAAAAAAAAATGATATAAGGTATGAGGATATTTAGTAGTGACATTTTAGAAAGATTGCTTAGGCATTATAAAAATAAATATTATGTACCTAATAATTCATGTAACATTATTGCTAAACGTTTTATAGGTATACCAACGAGTCCAGTACCTACCTATCAATTTATATATTTATGAATTCATAACAGAATAATAATGGGACTTCTCCCCCAATACGTCTTGGCATAGATAAAATATACAATCAATGTTCATTGTTGATACAATTAAATTGTACACTAATATACTTTTATCTGCCTGTGGTTCGGCCCGACACTTCACGAAGATGTGATTCACGGAGTTAAAACGTTATAATATTAAAAATCAAAAATTAAAAACGACCATTAGTCGATGTTGTTGAAATCGACCGCCTGTAAAATATACAATACAAACGCTTGAAGGCTTTTCACACATGCTTCGGCATTTAACGGCTGCTTAATTAACAGTAATATATTCAATAATATGGTTGAGAATTTGATAAAGTCGTCGGATACTTAAAATGTTGACCCAAGATTTGAGTAGTTGGAAAAAAGGCAATTGAAAAAAAAGCAACGGAAAAAAGCAGTGAAAAAAAAGCAAAAGGAAAAAAAACAAATGAAAAAAAAGCAAACGGAAAAAAAGCATATGAAAAAAAGCCTAAGGAAAAAAAACAAACTACACACTTTTTGTTTTTTTAATAACTCAAGATAATTATAATATTTTACTTAATCAGTGAGCAGTGTAAAATATATACGTGGTTTTTTTTGTAGCTTAGCCCTTTCTTCCTTTTCCCTATTTTCTCTCCCATTATAAGGTTTTATTTTATTTATTGATTATTTTTTTTAACCATTACTTAATATGTTATATATAGCAGACTATTTTAAGGAGAGAAGCAAAAAATGTTCCTCCTTTAAGTATAATATGTAATAGTTTCATATTTATATACAATTTAATTAAAAGCTTGGATGTGATTTATTATGATTGTGGTGGTCCAACTTGACTTAATATGTAATATGTAGGTGCTACGGACGCTCGTGCCGCTTTCCCCGACAAATGATTAGAAACACTTGGTCACTAAGGAAGTGATTATTTGAGATTATATTATACCTCCTATATGACTCGTCAAATCGTAAAGGACAACAATTGACAAATAATACGACTATACTAAAAATGTCAAAATCATATTTCAAACTTATCTTAATATAATGATTCAAAGACAGATAATGAGATAGGTAGGTATTTATGGTTTTCAGGTTTTCGATAATTGATAAAATATCAACAGTAATATTAAATTGTTATTTTTGCAATAATATGTTAGTAACTTGTTATGCTGTGTTCTCGAATGTTCTATTATTTTACCAGCAACAATGGAAATAATTAAATCTAACAAACA